ACAAGTTATCACAACTCATGCATATTTCACACAAAGGGGATTCATATAAATCCACAGACGTTACTTTCTTATTCCTCCATATTTTGAGTTCCAATGTTCTGCTAGCGGAATTCCCTTTGGAGTGATTCTGCAGCTGCGCTTGTAAATTATTTAACTTAGTTCTCATACAATTATAGCTTGCCGACTGCAAAGCTTTGAGCCATGACGTACGATCATTTTCTGTAGCAGCTGCCATACGTTGACTTATACCTCCTTCGTATGTTAGAGAAAACGGCCATAAGCCACTGGCATCAGGGGGCTCCTCGCTTGCCGTACAGTGTTCTAGCACTAATAACCCAGCAGCCTCCGACCAGGGCTCTGCGTCCCTTAAATAAAACAGAAGATTGCCACGTAAACGGCACCATCTACCCTGCAAAACCTTGCTCCCGGCGCCTACGCAACTCAAACGATTCGATTTGCGTTTATCCTTTTGCTCTGAAATATAATCAGGACCGTCATTTCTTCGAAAGAATCCCTCTTGCTTTTCCCTGAGGAACAGGACACCCTCCCTGTCGAATCGGTGCGAAGGCTGAACAGCCAAAGCTTCCAATTCTGTTTTGTTAAACCTCATTCCGACACAGTTGTTGATGACCCACTTTCTTCACAGGGCATTATGAATGGTGTTTGACAACAGCTTATTTGAAATTAACATCAGTAAAATACATCGCTTGCAACATTACATCGAGTTCAACCAAAAGGTCGGGCCGTAAAAAACTACAGGCGAACCGAAAAGCTCACATTTTTTAAATAAAATAATACAATAACCCATTACGCTAAATTCACAGAAATGTCAAATGCACCAGTGTTACCTGATGCAAATTGTTTGACGTTTAAAGACGCAGATAAAACCATAGATAAATGATACATTAAAGACAAATATTGCCATAGATAGATAAATAAAAACCATAGATAAATATAAACATAGATATAAACATAGATACATAAGTATAGCCATAGATAAGTAAACATAAAGAGTATCTACCGTCAATAAAAATCCATAAAAATAATAAAAATCGTCAAAAAAAAAATTTTAACACACAACATAAAAAAAAACTAACCAGCACGATTCCCAACCAATATTTTTCGAACGGTTTTTGAATTTTCAAAATCGATTCAGAATTGCGGGCTAAAACGGAGACGAATTTTTTTTCATTTTTCTGCTATTTATAAAGAAAAGGCTTGGCTGATCGTCGCGCAAAATTGGTAAACGGCAGTTTTCATCGAGATACATCGAATGGCTTTTAATTTTTTTAAATCGGTTCTGCCGTTTTTGAGAAAACGTCGATTTACGGCAAAAAATCTCTCATTCGATTCAGAATAGGTTGAAACGTCGAGAAAACAAATTTAAAATTAGCGAATCGGATTTTTTGATGAAAAAAACTTATTATACTATATAATCAAAATATTGACTGGATATTTGTCAAATTAACCGTTTTTGCTAGCCATTATCAAACATAATTTTTGTTACCTCTGTAAATTCAAATAACATCCATATCAATAAAATAGATGATTTTTATGAAATAGAAAGAAATTTTCACAACGCAATAAAAAAACACAGCCAAATTTAATATTTAGCAAAAAATATTATCAAATAAATATGATAAGACCACGTTTTCCTTATCCATGGATAAGACAGTAGAAATTGTTATTAACCAGGTTTTGTACATCTTCACTTTATTATGCATAATTGGCAATTACATAGATTTATTTATTGCAATTTCAAATTCTACTAGAGCGTTTTACTTATATTAATTACATAATAAATAATTAACATAATTTAATTACATATAAATTTGTAGTTTATAGAATACATAAAATTTATATTAAATTTTAAACCATTTCGATTATTGTCAAATATTATATTTATAAATTCATTTTGTATCCAATTAATTTTAAGTAGAACTTCAGATTGAAAAACATAACATTTTATATTATCTGGATCATAAAGTTCCTTTGGCTGTTGCTTATTGTAATACAAGTAGGTACTAGCAAGTTTTAAAGAAGTAAAAATTATAATAGATGTTTATGATTTAAAATTTGTTTTTTTAACAGGTAGTTCTCTGTTATGAGATTCAAAAATGTATTTTATAATCGTATCTAATAATTTTATAATTTATAAACAGAGATGGTTCAATTTTTTTTACAAAAAATATAGATCTTTAACATACTTTATATTTGTTTCTACTACTATGACTAGTGTCATAAGATTTCTTAAATAGAACACGTGTATCAAAATATAAAAAATATTATCATGATATAAATATTAACAAATAAATATTTTTTTATTTGATTTCATATTGAAAATATTGTACAATAAAATAAGTAAAAAAAAAACATCTCGAATCATGTTATGTCCTGGAAAATATCATTAGGCATTGATCAGCAAATATAATTGTATAACTTAAAAATGAAAATTAATTTTGGGCGTTATGTTTTGAATGAATATTAATTTTGCTTGCTTGGTAATTTATGATGATGTCATTATATTGTAATGAAAACGTTTTAGTGCCAACGTGGCAAGTGGTGAAATGCATAATTCTAATTTAAACATTGTTCTTAGAATTGTAACTAATATATCTTGTACTATTTAATAATATCAGATCCATAGAATTTGTTATCAGATGGAATATTCAATAAAAAAAATAAAAACCTTAATAACCGAGTCAATGAAAATAAAGTATCTAGAAATCAGGCAAACTTATTATAAAGTCCATAGAAAGATTTTATTCATTTTAAGTATATGTAAATTCGACTGCAACAAAACTAATATTTAAAAAACAGCATTCCGCCCAAAACTTAGTTTATAATACATAAACCTTTTATATACAGAAAGAGAGCAGTTTCTATACATTTCGTATGTGTAAAATTATTCAGAGTAATTACATACTTTGTATTTAATATACTTATATCACATCCATAATGCAATTTACCTAGTCTTATGTAAAGAATAAATAACATCAAATAGGATTATTACAGATATAAGACTATTAATTTATATTAATAAAATTGGTTAACCATTCCATAGTCAATTCTTTAATATATTCATATATTGGATCTTAGAAAAATAAATACATGTATGACTATCTAAATTTATAAGTCCTAAGAACGATTACATATTACAAGATAAATAGCAAAAAAATACAGAGTATATTAACTTTTTTGAAACCAAATTTAAAGGAAAACTTAAAATGAAACTCTGCTCAATTTGCTATTAATCTAGCTGTTTACAGTATACTAGCAGTGAAACAAATATCTTCGATGGAGTATGGGAACAAGTATTTTTTTCAAGGTACAAGGTAAATAGTGTTCAAAATTTCATTCAAAATCTTATTTATTTTTCCTGCAAATATTATATCAGTAACATTGATCAATTTTATGGTGACTGTTAAAAATGAATCAAAGATATAGATTTCTTTTTTAGCAAAATCTCAAAGTTCAAAACTGTATGAGAATTGTACCTTACAATTCAAATCAATTTTTCACATATATTTCTCTGTTCATAGTAGATTATTGTATACATTATTCGCATTAGCTTTAAAAATTATTTGAATTTTTTTTATGGAAATGATACAGAATAAACATTAAAAGTTATGTAAAGATCATGCGACGAATAAACTAGTATGGGTAAATATACTTAAAATAAATTTTCCATAGCTAATACTTTCATAAAGCGTAGTATTCTTATAATATTCGATATTCAAAAAAATATTATTTAAATGCATGAAAATACTAAACATAAATTACGTCATTGGAAAAACTATGATTTTTGAGATTTGATCAGATGGCAAATTAAAATTGTACAGTTTTTAAAAATTCAAAATCTTAGTTTTGCTATTGTTTTAATTAGCAAATTTAAATTTTTACACAACAAATACTAAGCAATTTGAAGATAAAGCAAATTAATGCACAATATCGAACTCGTCTAATTATAGATATGTACAATCATCTATTACATTATTCTATGTACTATATAAACACATTTGTGTGTTTTTGGAAGAAAATCTACTTTTGAATATTCAAACACCTGTGAAAAATACTTATTGCTTTTTATAAGAGATCCTTTATATAATTCATTGCATTTTAATTTGTTTTAATACTCATTATTATCATATAATCTTACTATTGAAAAAATTAAAATTAGAGCAAGAGCAATTATTTAAGGAATGTTAATTGAATATGGAATGCATAAAGAATGTATCAAAATATGAAAAATTATGAAACAAATATGTTTAGGCCACTCCAAACACTTTGCTCAATCTTGTGCTCATTACTCGTGAATGATAAATTAAAGACAAATTTGTACAGAATATTAAAAATGTCTTGATCTTTCACTCACGAGAATCAATGATTTTAATCATATGACTTGATACCTACAAATAAAATAATGAAAACAACTTAGGCATCAAAATTGATACTAAACGTACAGAATGATAACAATTCGGTGTTTACCTAAATAACAAAAAATGGTAAAAAGCGTTATCCAAAATATATTTCTTGATAATGAGTTGTAATAATGAGCAAATGGATCTAATTAAATGCTTATACGGACTCAATATTTTTGACTTTATACAGTTCGTAGTAAAATACTTAACCCAAAAATGATTCTTTTGAAAAAGAGTATTGATATATAATTTGATGTTTAGACAATTGTCGTTAATAGTATAAATATGTGTAAAGTATCTATTAACTTTCACATGTAAACATCATATAGGTCCTAATTAGGACCTATAATAATGTTAACATTATTATTTTATTGGAACATATCTCGTGGTAAATTAAAGCTATTTACACATATAATTTTCTATTGTATTTTGCTATCCACATGAAGTCTACCATTTGCACTATGATACTACTATAAATTCTTATAAATGCATTCCAATACTATGTAATTAAAGGATTCTCATTATTGTAATTTGATATATAAATACACCAAAAATAACTGTGCTGACACACTAACATAGTGCATGATGTTTTACAATATGAAGGATCATCTTTAAGATTTCATATTTAATATTAAATTACTATGATAAAAATGCGACAGGCGCATACAGATTCACAAAATGGAGATGCTAATATTCAATATATTAAAAAATATAAATGCAATACACTTTCTTCTAATCTTTTGGTCAAATAAAACAAACAAAATCCATATTGACTTATGTGAAATCTCCCACAGTGATTATTATGTCGGCATCACGCGTAACCACAAATTCTACATACGAATTATTTTTGACACTATCAGTAAATAAATCTTCAGATATGAATATATTTCTGTGAATCTTCAATATTGTTACGTGTGCTGCGAGCAATAATTGACTTTAAAATTTCCGTTATATTGAACATTTAAATATGAATTTACTTTAAATCGATTCCGTGGCTATCGCTGCCCATGGGCCTATAGTGTACATCAGGGCTGCGTATGAATTCCTGGTCGTTCCTTAATATATCATAACCTATACGTGAATCCTTTTCTACTGGAGAGCGTTCATAATTTCTAAAGTCGTTTTCACTAATATCTTCATCTTCATCATCATCTATATTCAACGATTTTCCAATATACTCTCTGGAACCATTAAAAACATCAACACCTGTAGAACTATACGGCCAAGACTTCATGAAACTACCACCATTTTCCATTGGAAACTTCTGATAATTTTCCACCACGGGTGTGGTGTTACTATCTTCATAATCCACACTTTCTCTTTTAGGAGTGCGAGGATCACTATTAACCCGTATTCTAATCGTATTGGTATTATTGGAGCTCATCTCCTCCAGTGGCAATTGTAGACCTTGACTAGATGTCACTATTCCTGACGATTTCGGTTGCTTTTGAGGAGATGGCTTCTGATGTCGAGGTGATAATTTAGGTGATGCAGGGGCAGCTGGAACGTAAATTCGGACCACGTCTCCTGGTGGAAGTGGTGTCGCACGTGGCGTTGACAAAGTAGCCGAAGGTGCTCTGGCGACACTGAGAGAACATTGGTTAGAGCTGAAATAAATTTGGGACAAATATCTTGTAAAGATAATAAATAACTATTTCTTTTCGTTTTACTCAAAAAAAGACCGGGTACAAATTTTAGCCTTGTGATATCTTTGAATAGTTTTTCTTTACTTTTTATCAAATAGCGTCCGGTCCAACCAACTAAATCTTTTCTTCTTAGATAAAAACAATTTAAAACAGCAAGATATTAATTTATCAACCTGAAGATTTAATTGTATGTAAGAACTGATAAAAACATAATTTTTGTATAAGGAAAATGTACCATATTGTGGTATATTTATTAAGGAACGTTTGACTTTAAAGATGATTTTTAGAAAAAGTAGGAAAGTGAGCAAGATAAAACTGTTCCAGTTTGTAGTATATTTGTAAGAATATATTTTTGCATCGAATAATTTCATTTATAGAGAAATCGGTATGTTGCCGAATCACGAGTTTGTCCCTAATTCCTTGATAGAATTTAACTACTTATAGTTAAAAAATAAAAATATTTCAAGCCGACTTTTCGCTATTTCCTGAAATGAAAGGTTTTACGTTACTGTCTCAATTTCGCGAACATGATTACCATAATTACGAAATTGTCAATTTCTCGAAAAATTTGTTTTATAAAATCTCGATTTATTTATAACATTATTGCGCACTGATCTATAATTTCATAAATTTATATTGATTAAACTCATCGGTATAACATAAAATCCTTACAAAACTGGAACTGCAACATCAAGTTAACCCCTTAGTACTTAAAATTTTTGAAAAATCGATTTTTGTTTTTTTACATTTTCATTAAGTGTAATATCTTGAAAATGTTCTCTTAAAATTTCAAGTTGATCTAATGATTACTGTTTAGTTATTGGACTCTTACCAGCGCGCTGACGCAAGTGGAGAGCTCGATACTTATATTCGAGATTATTCTCCCTCACCTCCTGATGTTTTAAAAGCTTTTAAACCAATTTATGACGATCTCAGCAATGATAATTTACTTTCAAGATGTGTAGTTCAAGATTGAATCCATAATCAAAAAAAATTTAAAAACTTCAACCAACTAATGTAAAAAATATGTCTAAAAACCATGAATACTAGTTCTACTATCGTACAAATAGTTGAATACATATACATAATCATTATTATTGATTATGGATACCCTAAGACCTAATTGTGGGTATAACTCCCATTGGTATGCTGAAAAATTGGATGCTGCGCGTATGAAAGTGGCAGATCAGAGCGCCAACGAGAACATTCGGGAGGCCAGAATGCTTCGTAGGCAACAGCAAATACAAATTTTGGAAACTTGCACAATGGCTGATAAACTATTATATGGCCCAGAAATAGATGACTCGGTTTAAGTAATTCAATAATTCGAATTTCTGTACGTAAATCCAATGTGAAACTTTAAACGCGTTTTTCTCAAAACTATGTTTTTTGAACCGGTGACTACTGTAACTGTTAAGCAAGAACCGCTTAGTAAATTTTCATGAAATTTATACAGCTTTTGGAATACATAATAAACTCGGGCCTGATCGAAGGATTTTTATTTTTTCAAAAATTTAAATTTTTTAAGACCAATTAACTGTTGATTTTTTACCCCAAAAATCTAGAAATTTTATTTCTGATGCTGCCATTTTGTTAATTTTTGAAAAAAAAGAAAACCTTCGATCAGGTCCAGGATTATCTATTTATAAAACTATTTTTTTTTATTTGATTGATTTTAGATGAATCTCTAAGGAGTTATGATGGTCACCGCCAGGACCGTTTTTTTAAACAGGGTCAACAAAAACAGCTATAACTTTGGGAATATTAATTTTTTTTTCTGAAATTTTTGTTACTTCAAGTTAAAACATTGTATAATGATGCCGTATTAATATTTTTGTAATAAAACCGTTTAATAACAAAAAAACAATACTGAAAATTCTCATTTTTTCGTACCTTCAAGTACCCCTAACCCCTTAAGCCAACAATAAGACCGAACTGAACTAAATCGGGTTGTGAATTATGCGCTTTCATATTTTGCGACCAAAATGGCACCAAACTATCACAGAATAATATACTATATACTAGTGATGTGCCGACTCGAAAATTTCCTGATTGTATAATTCCTTACTTGCATCGCATATAATCGGCATTCTAAACTATGTTTGAGAAAAACTTACCCCTGACTCAGACTGCCTTCCGAATTATAACTATGCGTGTCCAAGCTGTTGTCCAACGCCTGCGACCTGGCTGCCGACAGTACTGACAAATCAGCCGTACTCGTGACACTGGTATCAGCAAGAGAATGCCTGGAACATCCCAATAGTGATCCACTTTCTTCAATATCTCCACCTCCTTGCCCTAAAAATAAAGAATGGCAAAACGCCTCGTCTGATGAAAATATTTCATATTTGCATAGATATGTAATGATAAGCAAAGTGTAATAGCAAAAATCAAAGTAATAAAAAAATAATAAAAACCTTGGACCTACCGCATGCAAGCCAATATTTACCACCGATATATAATATGAATAAAACAAACACCAACTTATAACTGTTGAATCACTTTGCTGTTAACACAGAACCAGTTAGTATCCACATTTCAAGTAAAAAAAAGAAAACTATAATTTTAAAGTGCAATAAGGTTAAAATATAATGATAATTGTTCCTAATTTTTGTGCAGATAACCGAGCATCACATACAGAGAAGGACCGTTATAAAAAAGCAACAAATTTGCATGTTCAAAAAATTTAATAAAATGTGCTGTCCCTCATAACTAAGCCTAGATTCTGTTATAAATGCCCAACGTAAAAGATCTAAATCAAAATTCCTCATTAAAAATTAGTTTTTTACTGATAAGTAATAATTTTATAATAAATAAGCTACTTAATGTACAGAACTTCTGCACTTGCGTGATTCCTAATCTCAAGTAATCTAAAAACATATAATTCTTTTTATCAATTTTTTTTTTTAAATAATAGCTTTAACTACTGAACTATGAACCAAATCGCAACTTAAAAAAATGAGTTCCAGCTAAAAGGATATATTTGAATAACATATCTATGACAAAAGAAATACATATTATGTAATTAACGATGTAACCAGGTAACGATAAAATAAGTAAAAGAAAAAAAAATGGTAGAAATATGGGTTTTACAGCAGATCCCAGAACTCAACGGGGACGACAATTGAAATATGGTTTGTAAATTTCAAGGTAAAATTGCACGTTTAACTTAATAGTCAAAAAAATACTGAATTAGCACAATTATATTTAATTAAATACAAAAATGAAGCACATATAACTTTATAAAAAAAATGTTGTGTATTGTGTCTGCGTGAAATGATACCATTAAAAATTCATCTGATAATCCATATCAATCAGACATAAAAACCACGTTTATTCTGTTTTGAATTGGAAATCTGCGGGTTTCCACACGAAAATCTAGTCGTGATGATTTTAGAGTAAGAATTTTCTTGGTTCGACATCTTCATTTCAAAATCGTAATTGTATTTTCTGTCCAAATTTTCGAATCGTGATCTGTCGTGATATTCTCGCAAGACTGAAGGATGAAAGGTTCTGGGTAAGGATTTGTATTCTCTTCGTACACGTTTATGTTCTGTGATGAATATTTTAGAAATTAGAAAATCCATTACGAAATAAGGAAGAACTTGCATGGGTTCCAGTTTAAAACAACTCTACATATTATCTATTTATATAATAAAATATATTCAATAAGAAAGTTTAATTGATTTGAAGTGTATAAAATCATAAATTTCTAACAATAAGCAAGTATTTTTTATGAATACATGCAAGTTCCTCATTAACGTCTTTATATGTTTCAATAAATGAAACATTCTTAAACATCAGGAATGTATAAAAGCTTTTCAGATGTATTTACTGTAAATTCAAATAGCATTAAGAAAACATTTAATCACTAATAATAATATTTACTAATATATGAAGCATCAATAATTAATGGTTTAGCATCAACAATTAATAACTTATCGCTTCTTTTATTCTGGTTACTTTGCGATACAAATACAGTGAAAACCCGTTATGACGATTTCCCAGAAACCAGAAACCCGTCTTATGCCGAAAAGCGTATTATGTGGGATAGAGACACCGGCGTAAAGTAGCGTATTATGCGAGTCAAGCCTACTTGTCTTAACGGGGTTCTGCTGTATATAAAAATACGCAATAAAAAACTTTGAAATTGTTTTATGTTGAATCTAACAGGAAACTGAAACTACGTTTAGTAAGCTACTAAATATCAACGTTTCTAATGAATCTAAATAAATATGATCGTTTTCAATAGATCTAATGTAACTGAATGTACAATAAAATTTAAAATAAAAAGTGAACAATTAAATATTCTAACTAATCTATTCAAAATAGATAAAAAATATCTACTTCAAAATTAATTCGACCTCATAGCGCTTCGCTTTTATAATAATGAAATGAACTAGAGATAAGTGGCATTTCGCCTTAAGGAAAATTGCACGAACTTTCTCCCATATGTATAAATACTAACATTTAAAATTTCATTCAAAGATTCATTCATTCATTGAATCGTAAAATCGTAAAATCATAAAAAAAATAATCATTTTATTAGGTCCGACTTTACCAAAAAACTAGAGCACGATTCCTTTTCCTTTCAAGAAGCTTTTGATTTTCCCAAATCGGTTCAAAATTTTCGGCAAAAATGTTGACACTAAAAAATAGTACTTAACTGCTAATTATAAAAAAATTAGAGGTCAGCCAATCAACGAGAGTCCTCACTGAATGTCATCAAATGGCTTTTAAATTGTTGGAATCGGTGCATACGTTTTTGAGAAAACGTCGATAAAAAGTCCATTTAAGGATCCCATACGAACACGCATACTTTTTATAATTTTGGTACGATTCACATTACTTGAAACATTGAAAATAATAGCAAATCAGATTTTCTGGCAAAAACAAACTTCTCCGTCAAAAAGTCACCCCCCTTAGAGCAAAAATAATGCTGGATAACTAAAAATTCATGCGCGAGGTCGAAATTATTAAAAAACTAAATAAACACAACTTTGCTCAAAATAAATAACAAAATTACAATCATGTTACGTAAAATAACTGTCAAAGTGCACAATAATTATACCATTGAAAAAAAGCGAGCTTGTGAAAAAAACATACAGTATACAAATTAGAGCAAACGTACCCCAAATATCTTCAATATTTTGATTACTCGACGCGCGGTAGAACTAAAATAATAATCGAATTTCGATGTGACTTTTTTATTAAGAAAGTTAAAATATATTATTATTTTCATATTTAAAACTTAAAATTTCACACAAATGCATGTTGTTTTGTTGAGTACAAAAGAACATATATAAATAATTATTTGGGATATGAACATATATTATAATACTATCGAGAACACATAAAAACGTTTAATTTTTTGTTAATAACAGATCAAAACAACATCATCCGATATCTCAAAGTGCCCATGTTTCTTATATAAAAGAATTTTATCAGAGTAACGTGGTAAGTAATATGTTTAAGGTACAAATATATTCAGTAGGTAATATCTCATAAGTATAAATTTATTCAAGAGTATTCTATTTCAATTCGAGTATGTAAATTATTTATTTTTCCTCATATTTGGATTCGAACAATTTGTTTGCATCAATTGATCAATCAGATGATGCTACTCTCGTATGTACGAATGCTACAAAAAAACATCTACACCTGTTATTAGTTACTTGTTTAAATTATTGATTATTTATGTTGTGAATTAATTTAACAAAATTTCAATTTTTTTTTACCTGGCACCATGATAAAGCGAAAGCTTGCAAAACGTTAAAAATGAGCTTTGTTTATTAAATTTCGTTAAAAGTAAAATATTGGAATCGACTAGAAAAATGATTCAAATGATAATATATATAAACCATTTGAAATATTGATTATTTTAAGTATTTGAATTATTCCTCAAACAAGCTCTCGCTCATATAATTTTATTTGTTGAGAGTGAGTTAAAACGCCTTAAATTGATAGAAGTGATAGGTGCATCTATAAATCATGCTTTTATAGGAAAATTAATTGCATAGTAATGACAAATGATCCAAACGACCACATGAATAGATTTAAAAAAATGTATAAAAATGTTTTCATAAATAAAGGAATAGAATGTATGAAAATAAAAATAATGATTTGAGAGATCTAATTTAATGATAGTATATAAATATAAAAATAAAATTTGTATAGAAAATTACATGAGATAATATTAACACATTCATATAAGAATTCTTAAAATTATTGTATAAATATGAATATATACAAGTGATCATAAATGTAACAGAATGGTAATATCTAATCTGAGTACGGTATATATTTTAAGAGTTTTTGCTTTAATGAATCAATCTCATCATGTTTAATATAAGGTCAAAATAAACAATAAATTGTCATTTTTACAATAACAACTTCAGAATCAAAAATTATATATATAAAATATAACATTTTGAAAATGTCTTTAAATTAAATACAGAAATACAATAAGAGTCAAAAGGCTAATGAGTGGTGGATAATTTAAAAAAAAAATGGTTTTCATTTTCAACTCATAATACAATCATTTTTGCCTATAACTCCATATGAAATGATTTAGTAATAAAAAATATATATCAATATGCTACACTAACATTATTCTGAAAGAAACAAAAAAAATAAATCTCTCATATATAACATGAGAACACACATTTTTTTTGAAGTATCAATGATGACAGTGATTTACTACTGAAAATTGTACTGTTTGTAACTAGAGGTGACAAACATTATCACAAAAATACAAAACTATATTAAATCTAATAATACACAAAATAATATATCAATTGATCT